ATCCTGAAATACTATCTTATTAAAATCCATGAGAACATTCGATGCAAGCATTTTTATTACATTTTAAGCAATTGCTAAATTTATTATTACAAAGCTTACATTTTTAACTTTATTAATCGAAATAAAATTTACTTACATTATGTGCATACTCCTTCTGAACTACATTATTAACATTTTAAAGGACATAATTATTTATTAATTTTTTAAACATTTTTAGTAAATTTAATACATAATCCTGTATTATTATGCAATTAATATCCAGGACTACATTCAAGGCAACCTAATTCCGTACATACTTTACAATTTAATATACTATATAAACAAAAAACACATTATTATTATTTTTAATCAAAATATTAAACTTATTTGCATAAGGTGCATTCTCCAATTTAATTAAATTATTAACATTCAAAAGGACAAATTTTTCTTTTTTTCCGTCAACACTTCTAAGTTATTAAATACATGCACGTTAAATAATATCTAATTAAAATCCAGGACGACATTCGAGGCAAACATCTTCCGTACAAGCTTAGCAATTACTTTGTATATAAGAGCATGGAAAACATATTTAATATTACGATTCTAAAAAATAACTTAATTTACATTAAATGCATATTCCATTTTATTTACATTATTAACATTCTTTAGGACATTTAATTTAATAATTTAATTATTACAGACTATAAAAATTCGTAAAAGTTAATAATAAAAAGATATTAATCAGTGTTAATTTTATGAACATTATTTTATTATTATAATTAAATTTAATATATTTTTTATTTTTTTATGAATCATTATATTTATAATAAATATAGGTTAAATTTTTAAAGACATATAATGAAAATATTTAAGAAATAGATTTTTTTTATAAAGAAAAAAAAATGTATAAAATAAAAGGTAAAAAAATATCTAAATATAAATATATACATAAATATATGTATAAATATATATTAAATAAATTATATTTATATTTATATTTATATTTATATTTATATATTTTAAATGATATATTATATATATTTTAAATGATAAATTATATAATATTTTAAATATATGTTTTTTTATATATATATTATTTTTTTTTGCATTAATAATAAATATTTTTTTATATGTATTTGTATATATAATAATAATCAAAATCTGTATAAACAACCTAAATTACTAAATACAATGACATTTTATCATATTAAGAATGTATTCTATTGTTTTGCGCTTACAAATAAAATATATACTGCATCATATACTATATTTTTCTTTTAATTCTTATACGATGTTCGCGAGAATAGATAGTTTTTAAAATAGATGATGCTTTTTTATTAGCTAATTTAAACTGAATAAACACTTATATAGAAAGTAAACTAAATTATAAAATCTGGAAATTATCATCGAAAGTTGACTTATAATTAATTTATTAGGAGGGATTTATTTTTTAATATAATAATTGTAATTAATCAAAATATTATAATTTATTTTTGATTAGATAACAGTATATAAATATAATTGCAAAGTAAATATAAAATAATAAAAAAAAAAAAAAATTAAAAATACAAAATAATATTATATTAAATAAGTAATTGTAAATTTAAGGAATACAAAGAGAGACATTAGTTTAAAACTCTTTTTCATAAAATTTTATAAGAGAATTATGAAAAAGATTAAAATAAATATTAATTAATAAATAAAATTGTATAAGCAGAATTGTATTATATAAAAATTTATAAAATTGATATATAAATGATATGTAAATAAACTGAATAACAAATAAAACATAATAGAATGAAACTTAATCACTTATAGAAAACATAATAAAGTAAATAATCATTAACAATATTTTTAAAATAATTATCTGCTTTAAGTAAAAATATATTCAAATAAGTAATAATGTTTTAATTTTACATTAAAACAGAGATTTATAATCTAGTTTTAAAACTGAATAGGTTGTATAAAATAATTATAAAATTTAAAATATTAAAATTTAATAAATAAAGTTGCTTTTGAAAAATTGTTTAAATTTATTAAAAAAAATAAAGAATATTAAATCTTTTTTTCATAATTAAAAATATATATTTTTTTAAATAAATAATCATATATATTTATTTAAATAATATAATATTTTTACTATCTTTTTAAAATAAAATAGTAATAATAATAATATCATATCATCTAATTTGACACCATTAATTACAATAGTATACTAATCAACCCAATCTTTAGCAAAAGTGAAATATATAATCTACTCTAAAAGCAAAGACTTGGACAGATAATCAGTTTTTTTTTTGAAATTTTAGACTAAATCTGAAAATTTCTCGATGTAATTATCATAAATATATTTTATATTTAACCTTAAATGCCTACCTGCATAAAATCTGTTACATTAGGAATATCATATAGAATGACTATTTAAA